CTCTGCCACTTAAGACCAGATGGTGAGTGCACCAGAAAGTGGATGGCCATCCACCCGTCAGCTCTGAGAGACAGACAGAAAATGGTATGAGCCCTGGAGCAGCTTGAGTGAGCAGGGGCTTCAGCGCCCATTCTAGTGCGAAGTGGTCACTGGAATGCCAGGGAAGTGGGAAAAGCTTATTAAAAATGTCTATGTAGGGTAGTATTAGTTCTGATGCTGAGTATACTTCACAAAACTTAATGTGACATTCACTCATTAACATACTCATTTTTTTGTGAGGGGATAAAAGGAAACATTTGTTCTCTGCAGTCACCTGCAGCCAGCATTAGCCATCAAATCAGTTCTGAACTCCTTTCTTAGACAAAAGTGGCCTTCACCTGTTAAGCAAAACATCCCAGTCCTGTCTCCACACAGCTGTTCTCCATGTCATGCTGCCAGTCCTCATTCCTCTACCGAACTTTCTAATGGTTTTTATCACCTTGAGTTTCAGATCTGAGCTCCCCACTGTGATGAAGAAAGCCCTAAAGACTCAGTCACAGCTCACGGCTGCCACGGCTTGTGCTACTGTTTTCCGTCCCACCCCTGCAGCCACACTGGTCACCTTTCTGGGGCTCACGATCCACCAGTGCCCCCTTCCCAGAGGTTTGAGCCAAGGGCTCTCTCCTCCAGCAGTACAGTCCCCACACTGGTGGCTTCTCAGAACCTGGCCCCGAAACCTACACTTCAGTAAGGCCCTCCCTGGGCCTCTCCTTCTTCGGGCTGGCTTTCTTCACAGCTTTTATCACTATCACCAATCATCGTTGACGTCTGCCCATGACAGCTTGTCTGGGGATTTTGCTGCTTTCCTCAGGATATGGCTCTAATACCAGAGCATCATCTGACACACAGTAAACCTCAAAAGATATCTGTGGAGGGAAACTGACGAATGTTGGATATGTAACAATGACACTAGTGCCACCGTGACTGAGGCACATACTTTGAATGGACTTTCAGACCAGAAATGGGTGTTTTGTTCCTAGGGTCTTCTCTCTCCTCCTGGGCTCCTGATAAGCAAGAGTCCTTCACCAAGAGTCCAGGTCAGGGTCTGAGGCACTGGACAGAACAAGAGAGATTCCACCAGCTCCTTTCCACCGTAGTAACTCACGTGCCACGGTGGGAAAATCAGAGCTGTATTTTTAACACTTGTTTTGTTTAAACTCTGTATTTTCCACCAAAGCTAACTGACCTTCTGGCTTCTCACCAGTGAAAACCAACTAAAGGGGGCTCCAACTCCATGAGGCCCAAGCGGCCCGTGCCCACACTGGCAGCCTGAGGTGCAGCATACCTGTCATGAGGAACAGGAGGCCGGCCACGTGCTGGGTCAGGCTCTCCTCCCAGAAGAAGCTGACGGTGGCCACAATGCAGCCACACAGCAGGACGGCGACCGCCATGCCCAGGAAGCCGGCAGTGATTCTTCGCAAATCTAATCTCAAAACAGAGACAGACATCTAAAGTCAGAAAGAGTCAGGAAAGTGAAAATTATAGAACAGAGAGTTTTGCATCGACTGTGAAAGTGACTAAGCGACACAGGCAGACGTGGGGCCCACAGGGTGAGGTGGCTTGCGGAATTCTCTCTCAAGGTGTCTCCTGTAAGAGGACAGGTGGGTATAGCCATGGTTGGATCAGTTCACTCCTTTAAGGCCATGGAGCAGTCCGAGTCCAGAGCAGCTCACGCCAGTGAATGGTGGAGCCGTGCTCCACTGTGCGTAAACACCACACTTTCTTTATCCGTTCATCTGCTGATGGGCATCTAGGCCATTTCCAAGATTAAAAGAACACTTTACTCCAGGGTAAACTTGTAGAGGAATTACTTAGTAAACTGAGAACACGGCAAGTTTATGAAATATTTTCATTAGCCATAAATAAACAACGTAAATAAAGGTTACTACCATGATAGCTGCTGTGACTAACGTGATTTTAGAGGAAGGGCCTAAAAATGAGCCTAAATGAGGCCTAAATGTGGCCTACAACTGAGCCACAGCGAAAGGGCGTTTTGTCTGAACATCACAGATGTCAATTAATTTTTTTTTTTAATTTACTGTTATCCCTGCCTATTTTCTAAAGGGAATGAAACAGTGGAACAAAGTGCACACACAAGACATCTGCACAGGAACACCCTCGCCCACAAAACACATGTCCTGTAAGCCAAGGCTGAGGGCCCACCCCAATGGTCCAAGGCCCTACCCGACACCCAAGTGCCACGTGTGGGCTACCACCCAAGCTGATGACCACTGTCTGGATGCACTGTCCCCGTACCTGCTAACACACAGTGGCACTCGGCTCTCAGCTGCCCATCTTCTGGCTATTTTACTTTTTTGCTCCTTCCTTTTTAAAAACAAGGCTAATCTAAAATATTGTTACCTAAATGGTAATATGTTTATGATGCTTCTTAAAACAGCAGGTTCCAAGCATATTGCTGTTCTTCTTGAGGCCTGGGCCAAGCGTATCGGGTCCAGGACACACATAAGTAAGCTCATGGAAACAAGACCAGAGGTACCGCCACTGCCTTAGGTGTGGCTTCGCCTTCACGTGGGACATGTCCAGGCAGCTGCCACCTTGTACGCCTGCGCAGCTCCTGGGCGTGGCAGGGCTGCTGTGTGTAGGATGGATTACAGTCGCTTCCTACTTTACTCTTAGCACTGTAGTTGAGCACAGACCATTACCTTTATTACAGGAAATTCCATATTTCCAGTCTGGAAGACTCAACTTAAAAGAAGGCATCTCTACTAGAAAGGAAATGTAACTACTATAGAGCCAGGGCCAGGACAGCCACAGTTTAGGGTTGCAGGGCAAGTACCTTGGGGGATAATTATATCTGAGCAGGAAAAATGGAATAATAGTTCAGCCACTGTTATCCTCCAAGCACCCAAATTCCCTGTGGTTTGAGTGATGGTCCTAAGTTTTGTGACCACTAAAAGGTGCAAGTTCAGATGGAATTCACATGAGATCTGTAGCAGTACCAGGTACATGGAGCTTAGCGAGGCTGTTTCTGAGCAACAGGTGTGAGTCCATTAAAAGTATCTTTTTAAAAAATTATTTATTTGATACAGGGTCTCACAACACAGTTTAGACTTATAGTGATTCTCCTGTCTCAGCCTCCCCAGTGCCTGAATTACAGGTGTGTTCCACCACACCCGGTTTCGGGGCTGGCATGGCATGCCCAGGGTTCTGTGGCCAGCACGGCATGCAGTACCGGACATCAAACTCGGGTCCTTCCACTTTGTCAGACAGGTGCCCAGACTGCTGAGCTACTTTCCCAGCCCCAAAAGCATCTTTCCGCAGGCACCCTGAAAAGAATTTAGTGCATGCTAAACTACTGCCACCTGACCAACAACAGGGTTCAAACTCGAGAGAAAAGATTCATGGATCCTCTGGTGATCTTTTTTTACCTGACCAAAATCAGTAAGGAGGAGGCCCACTGGGTAGAGGTCTAAGACCGAGACCTCCAAGCATGTTCATTAGGAAGCCCAAAACTTTAACTTAGATGGGCTGAGAAGCGACTGTTGGAATATGTCCGCAAGAAAGTACTTCCAAGAAGTCACACTCTTAAGCAATGAGCCTTATTTTATCCAAAGACCTTCAGTCCTAATATTTAGAATAGCCCACTGTCAAGGCAGTAGCATTAGAGTTCCCGAGACTCAAATTGCAGCCTTAGGCATCCAACAGAAAAGTGTAAAAACAAAGTATAAGAAGTAAAGCCATGCTGTTATGTTGAGCTGTGGGGAACTCAGGTCAACAATTTCTGACACTGCCAGTGAAGCGGAAGACCCAATACTATCATGGACTACTGGACTATTTTGGAATATTTTGCTGAGTTCACACACCTATAATATTCAAGTGACAGAACTAAACAAAAAAGGGGATACAGATGAATGTCCATTTTGTATCTGTGTATTCAAAATGGTTAGGATATATAGTTACATTCTCTTAATGAATAGAGGGATTTGTTCTAATGGTGTTTGTAAATAGGATATCATGTCTGCATCTTGTATAGCAAATAACCACTAGGAAGAGTATGCAATATAATTATTAAAACTGTCCTACCAATTTGATTTGAAACTGTCTCATTGTGATTTGTTTCTCAATAAAATTATGGAAAAAAATAAATAAATTGTAAGTCAAAGATATAGTATAAATCTTAAAACAAAAATTAAGATTAAGCAATATTCAGAAAATTAAATACTAATTAAATAAAAATTAAAAAAAACAAATTGCAGCCTTGTGCTCTGCAGGGGGCCATTTACTCACAGAAAGCTACTCAGCTTGGTCTCCTGCCCAGGCTTTTGCCCCTCAAGGAGACTGCTGAGGTCTGCATTGGAAAACAGACAATAGCAACCTCTGATTCCAGGAAATACTGCAAAGAACTCAAGGTGGGTGGGTTTTCTTTGCTGAGCTCTCTACCACCAGCAGCTGGAATCAACAGTTTCCAAGTAACCACCAGCCCTCTTTAGTTCCTCACTGCGTGACCCTTTCTTTCTACAGTTTCACATTTTCCTGACAGTGAAAAGAAGCAGTTCCTCTGCTGAGATGTACAGGTGGAAGACCCCCTGGCAAAAATTATGACAGTTATAAAGATACTTCAGCAGAAATGCCAAGGTGTGAAATCAGCACAGTAGCTAAAATAAATACTGCATAAGCAAAACAAACATAAGAGCACCGAAGGCATAATCTCTTAGACTTCATAAGACAAGTGGTACCACAGGTTCTGGTTCCTGACCACTTGGTAAAGGAAAGCTTCAGCCAGCTGCCGTGCCCCGAAGCCACCCTGGCAGGCAGGCTCACAGTCACACCTGGTTTTCACACCTTGATGTATAAACAAAGTTAAGCCACAGCAAGGGAAAAGTTCCTTAGAGTCTCTGACCAAGTCCATCTTTTTGTCCAAACCTGAGAGGACAGTAGGAATCCCTTTTCTGTTCAGAAAGACACCGTTTCCTCTTGGACCCTTTCCCAGAAATACTTACGAAGCAGGTGCCATTCATCTTGCTGAATTGTCTTGGTTAAATTGAAAGGAATGTTGCGTAAGCGGATTGGTTGAGAAAAGTGGTACTTGATGGCTGTGCATCGCTGCGCAATACCTGGAAGGAAATAAGAAATGAGATTTACTAGTTTGTCCATTTGTAATGGAAATCTGGAGGCCTGAGGCAGAATAATTTACCTTCGACTGATTGAATGGGGGTGGGGATAGGAATCTTGATTATTCTCATTAACAGAGGCAAGTCAGAGCAGTAAAAACCTAGAAGCTGAAGTTCTTTTTAAAATTATGTTTCATTTTTTAAATGTATTAAATTTTATAAGGATCTATATTTTCCCTTAAATGTTTTCCAATACAGAGTTTATCTGAGCTAAACAAAAACTACTCAAGGAAAGACTGCCTAAAAGGATACAGATGTTTAGGAGAAATCAGCTTAGAATTGTTAAATTAACACATAAATTACAGTTCTAAATTTAGTCTCACACTCTCAAATGGATTGATCAAAAAGTTGATTAGAGAAATCTGGGAGGCTGATACATGAGGATCACAAGTTCAAGTCCAGCCTGGACAACTTAGCAATACCCTATCGCAAACTAAAAATATATGAATTAAATTTAAAAAGATGTAGTCATAGTTCAGTGCAAAAGCCTCATGACTCCATCTCTCGTACCAAAACCACTTTTCTTCATTAGGAAGTATGTTATTTAGACACCAGAAGCCAGTTCTCCAAAAAGGTTTCATTTACATTGTAGGCTTAGGTGAGGATTTCACCTTCAGATGAGACTGGCCGCATTCAGGGCAATAAGGCCAGACATTTTGATTTCCTGACAAAGCCTGTTAGCCTATTTAACCCATCAGCAGCTGATATCCCTTAATATAAATGTTACTGACTCAAATTATGCCTTTTGAGTGAAAGGGTAACACTGAAAGTAGAGAGGGCAAAAAAAACCTAAGTTCTCCCTCCCTTTATATGTTTGCATGACCAGCCCTATGCACAATATTTTGGTTGGGCAAGCATGCCCATCAGTTTAAACGCCTCATTCATAGCCCATGCTTCTATTGCAGAAATAAATGTAGGTATATTATCTTCTAAAGCCTTTTTGGTCCCATGAAAGGCATCAACCTTTCATAAACAACAAACCAAAATGCTTTGCACACTGTAAATCATCTCAGCCAGTTGTGTGAATCAATGCAATTTCATGAAACCAATTTTGAAAAAGGTGTGAGTGAGTGTTCTTTAACCCCAGCAGCTGTCATAAAAGTATCCTGAGAGGTGCAAATAAATCTCTAATTAGTGGAATTTGCGTAAGTATAAAAGTGAAGTGAAAAATTTTAAAAATCAGATGACAAAGGGAGGAGATCAGCATTTGAGACACAAACAGGCAGAAAATAAAGGATAGGAAAAACTATACCACAAAAAGTAATCAAAAGAGAGATGGCACAACTCTATTAGTATCAACTAAAACAGACTTTTATGGCAAATACTACCAGCAACAAAGAAAGATACTTTATAACGTAAAGGGGCCAATACATGAGGAAGATAAAGTAATATATCTGTAACACAATCCCGAAATACATGCAGCAGAAACTGAAAGAACTGAAAGGACAGACAACTCAGCGATACTTGTGGTAGAATTCAATGACCTATGTTCTGTGACAACAGAACAACTAAACAGAAGAGTATCAAGGAAACAGAGAGCACGAACAACGCTGTCACACATACGTCCACAGAGCACTCTACCCGACAACCCCAGAACACACATTCTTCTGTGCACACAGCGCATTCCCAGGACAGGACACGAGGTAGGCAGTAAATCAGAAGAGAAATTAACGACTGTTCGATTCACACAAAGGGCTCAGGGAGAGCTCGGCCACTTAATGCCTGCCTGACAAGCACAAAGTCCTGAGTTTGATCCCCCGTACTGCACGCCGTGCCAGCCCCGGATCTGGGCATGGCGGCGCATGCCTGTAATTCCAGCACTAGGGAGGCTAGACAGGAGGATCACTACTGGTCCAAGCTGCCCAGCAAGACCCTGTATCAAAAAATTTAAAAATAAAATAAGTTCACACAAAGTATATTCTCTTACCACAATGTAATGACTGCAAATCAATCATAGGAGAAAATTTGGGGCATTTGAAACTTTATGTTAATTAACTGCCGTATTCCTAATAATTGATGCTCAAAGAAGAAATCACAAAAGCAAACAAAAAATGCCTTGAGATTAGGGAAAACAAAAGCACAGCACGCTAAGACATGAAGAACTCAGCTAGAGGAGCTCTTTCAGGTAAATTTACAGCTGTAATGTATTCATTGAAAATTATCTCAAATCAGTATTCTAAGAAAGAACTAAACCCAGAGCAGAAGAAAAACACTGTAAAAGTAAATATAAATCAGAAAACAGATACCTACAGAAAATAAATTTTAAAAAAATTTTAATTAACAAAACTGATGAATCTTTAGGTGATACTTTCTAAGATAAAAAAAAACAAGACTCAAGTTACTAAAATCAGCAGTAAAACAAAGGCTATTACTAATAATCTTACAGAAATAAAAAAGTAAAGAGAGCACTGTGAAAAATTATATGTCAACAGATCAAGACAGATGAAATCAACAAATTTTTAAAAAGACACAAACTCTAAGCCTGATTCAAGAAGTAACAGAAAATCTGAATACATCTGTAACAACTAAAGAGATTGAGTTAGTAGTTAACTTAGTAAAAATTTCCCACCCACAAAAAAAGACCAGATGGCTTTGGTGGTAAATTTTACCAAATGTTTAGAGAAGATTTTAAAAATTTAAAAATTTCATAAATTCTTAAAAAAAAAAAAAAAAAGGCCAGCAAGATAGCTCAGCGGACTAAGCACCCACTTAGGCAAGTGCAGGGACCAGGTTCAAACTCTGGCACCACATGTTGCAGTGGCCCCCCCGCCAGGCAGGCTGAGCCTATGATGCAGACCGGGCACGGTGGCACACGCTTGTCATCCCAGTGCTGGGGAGGCTGAAAACAGGAGGATCACTATGAGTCTGAGCTGCATAGTGAGACCCTGTACCAAGTACATTAAAAAAAAAAAAAAAAGGTCTGGGGAGATAGCTCAGCGGCATAAGCGCCTGCCTGGCAAGTGCTAGGTCCCTGGCAGGTTAGATCCCTGATATCACAAAAAAGAAAAGAAATAAAACAAAATCTTCAATAAAGAAAAGAAAATTTTTTAAAAAATGAGAGATTCTTGTCTAAGTCATCTTATGAGGCCAGTACCTCCCTGATCTAGAACCAGATATAACAAAAAAGAAATTATATAATATTCCCTGTGAATATTCATATAAAAATCCTCAATATAATATGGGCAAACTGACCTCAGCAACATTGAGAAAGATTCCTACATCATGAATAAGTGAGATTTATCTCAGGAATACAGATTGGTTTAATATATGAAAAATAATGAATGCCATCAACACATACGGGGGATAAATCTAGAGGTCTGAAACTACCTAATCATCTCAAAGACAGAGAAATTCATTTTACAAAATCCTTTTAAGCCAGGCACGGTGGTGCACACCTGTGTTCCCAGCACTTGGGAGGCCAACGCAGTAGGATCACCATGTTTGAGGCCAGCCTTACCTACATAATAAGACCTTGTCTCAAAAGAACAACAGCAACAAAAAACCAAACATCCATCTAATACTCATCAATGACACTGAGTGACAGTACTATTACCTCCCCTACACAAACAAAAAAATCTCAAGCTCAGGAAGGTTAATTGATTAGCCTGGGGCCACAGTGCTAACTAATAACCAAGCTTGAGCACATATGCTGTTGCTCAAACTTTGTATACCCCTCATTCAGGAAAGTTAGAAATCCTTAAGCTCTTGGAGATATCTCTTAATTTTGTAGGTAAAGCTGTCGTTGTAAAATGTACTGTTAATTTGAAATAAAATAATTTTTCTAGTTTTGCAGCAACATGTACTCTTCCAGAAACAAAGCTGATTCCTAATCAAAAGCGTTGTTTGTAACTCTGTAACTGGAGATCGGATTAGCTACTGTAATGGTTGTACACTGTGTCAACCTGAGAAGCTGAGTGGTTTAACTCAGCAGGGAGCAAGGGTCCTCCTGACCTCAAGGTGTAAGGGAGGTAAAGAGCCTCAATCCTCCCCTTTCGTGCTCTTGTTACTTTTGGGTCTTCTGCCCCCTTGAAGTGTCACCCCTGTGCCATGTACCACCCTGTCTTGGGGCCAGCTGATTATGGACTGAAACCTCCACAAACCGTGAGCTAAATAAGCACTTTCTTAATTTTGGGCGTTGGGTGTTTTGTCTCAGCAACGACAGAAAAGTAAGGAAGACAGCTACACAGTTGACTGCACGGCTTCACCCCAACTGCATCCCACAGAAAAGATGCTTCACGCTGGAGACAAGGCTGAAGTGAGAAACGGTGACCTCAGGACTCGGAGGGGCACCAGTTCTCTGCTTGGGCAGTGCGTGGCCCCTCTGCAATAAGTGCAGATATGCCTGGGCTCATTTCCTCCTCAGCCTTGCCGACACCCAGCGGGCAGGGAGCGCAGAACGCAGACAGCTGGCCCAAGTTCTCCTTCCCAGGGAAACCTCCCCGTGCCAGGAGTGACTTAAGCACCTCGCCAAATGACCTTTCCTGCCCCGTCGGAATCTCAGGCTAAAGTGCCCAGAATTCTGGTGAGAAGAGAAAGCAGATAAGGGAAGTGGACAGAGTTAGGCAGTAACAAGCAGTGCTCCCAGATTCCAGAGATGGGGTAGGCGTCCGGTGGGGAGCCCGGAGCTCCAGGCTGAGCCTGCTAGGCAGGGGCCCGTGTCCTGGTGCTCCTCTCCTTGGAAAATGATCTGAGCCTTCCGCAGAATTAGAAGAGAAAGTGGGGGCAAAGGACAGCTCACCAGCAGTTTCAGAGAGCAGCCATTAGCTTTTCACGTCCTTGTTCTTAAACCCTGGCCCTGCTGTCACCGCAGAGTGTCAAGCGACTTTGCGGGGAGGAAAGCGCCTTATCGGAGTCTGGCCTCCTACAGCACCCACATCAAACTGCGGAAATGACACCTGGCAAAAATCATTCACCGGGAAGGACCTGGAGCTGCTTTGTGCCTT